ACTTTCCCCTTCTTTGCCGCCTTAAGGGGTTTGGAAGAGCCCTTCTTTGCAGACTTTTGCTCCTTACTTGGCCTGGACTTCTTTTTCACCGGCGTGGAAGCGGAGGATTGCGCCTTCGATGCTGGAGGCTTCGGTGTTGGTTGGCTGATATCGGAGGCAGGCCTCGATGCCGGAGCTGTTGATGTCGATGGTTTCTTGGCGTCCATCGCTGAGGAAGGATGTAGAGCCGATTCTAGCAGGGCCACTTTAAGGCACACAGCTCGGGTTTTTTGGGTCTGGTTTGAAAAGCGAGCACAGTGGCGACAGGATTCGGGTCGATGAGACTCTCTGAGACAAAGTATGCAAAGGGTATGACAGTCAGGAGGAGCAAGTTTACTGCCGCAACTCTTGCACCTATTAAAAAAGCCCTTCTCCATAAAAACCAAAATGAAGAAAAAAGAAGGGGTGAGTGGGGGGGTAGCCCAAAGGCCCGACTGAGGTAAAGCGGCAACCTCCCCCTCAGCAGAAAATAAAAAGGTTGTTTTTTTTTAAGTTTTTTGAAAGAACAACGAAGAAAAGGAATAAACTGAGGAAAAAATCCAAAGAGCCGTGAGGAAAAAATCCAAAACACGCAAACCAATCAGACCGACGAAGAAAAAGGTCTTTCCAACACGGTGGTAAGAAAGGAACTGGCGGGATGTCTGCGCCCTCCCCTCTGGGCATGCGCGGTGGGGTTCCTGCGCATGCCCGAGGTCTGGGTGCGAAAATCCGTTAAAAGAGCTTGCTACAATGTCGATCATTCCAGCACGTGCGCACTAGATCCCATGGGTATGAAGCACAGAGACCACGTTGAAGATCTGGTTTTTCCCTTCAAGTTACTGAGACCTGGGGGAACGATTAAAGGATTATTTGGTTGCATTTTGTCTCCCCCCCTAATTCCTCACCTTCTGAATTCTGTGGCATAAGCAAAACTCTATTTTGTACATTAACTGAGACATGCTCCCTCCCATTTAGTGGGGCCCTGGACATCAGGGTTGCTATGCAGAGGTGGGCCATAGAAAACTACCTCTCGATATCTCTTGCTTTGAAAACCCTACAGGGTTGCCATAAGTAAGATGCGAGTTGACAGCACTTTACATACACAAACAAAGGCAACCCCAGTCAACATTTGCCTCGGCAACCCAAAATGGCTAGTCTTGCAAGATCTCAACATTTAACCTATTTTGTGTTTTATTTAATCTCATTTGAAGACTGGATAGGGGAGAGGCTGCGGGGCTGACAGAGTATGGGGCAAAGGCTGTTGAGGCTTGGAGGGGGTTTGTGAAGGAGAACTATGAGGAGATAGCAGAAGAAGCTGATAATCAACAAGAGTGCAGGGGTAAGGAAGGAATTGGAACCAAAGGCTGTGGGGAGAGGAGAAAAGTGGGACCTAGAGCAAACAGGGAAGCAGAGGGCAAGGTGAGAAAACAGGAAACAATAAGGGAGGGGAAGTGGAGACAGAATAGTGAAGAGGACAGCGGAGAAATGGTATTTCCCTCCCCCTGCTTGTGTTTTCTAGTATGTAGAATAGGGAAGCCAGGCAATGCCTGGCAACCACCCGGCGGACTGTTGGGGGCCACAGTGCTATTTTACCATAAAGTTTCTGGCAATTCCAACAGCTATCCTATATCACTTCTGAGTTTTTACCAGAAATGACATGATGCAGTGTCACAGGTGTGTGTGTGTATTTTTCTCTTGCCTCCTCTCAGAACAGCAGGGGGGCAGTGAGAGCCGGGGGGGGGGATCTCCTGCTGGGGTGGTTGGCAGCCCTAGTACAGAACTATACAACCATAGGGAATTTTTAATAAACTTTAATGAATACATAAATACAGGTATTAAAGTCTTCTACCATGGAGAAGGAAGCTGCAGCTTGCTCCAGCAATCCAATCAGACCAGCTTCAGTAAAATACTTCCCAGAGCAGATCCCTTCTTCATCTGGTGATACAACATCATCAGAAACTGCTGATTCTTCTAACACATTTGAGGAGATGTTCTGAGGAAATTACAAGTCGGATGTGAATTTTTTCCAGCATAAACACTATTAAAATGTGAGACAACTGAACCTTTATTTAATGTTCATTTGCCTCCTTATGAGGCAACGTTCTATGAAATGAAAGATTTCATTTTGATACAATCCTCTTCTAATGATCTATACCAACATGTGATATGTTTTGTTTTAGTGTGGGACAATTCATATAATTACAACTAAGCAAAGGATAATGTTTTTTTCTAGAGTGGGACACTAGTGAAAATAAAATGGTATTAATGGGTCTCTAAATAAGTGAATGCCTGGCAGAATAATTTGTTCTGCAAAACAGTTGTGATAGAACACAGTACTGTAGTATGAGTGAACGTCCTCATACTACAACAGTACTTGGGGTCTACTAATACGATCTATAATCTAATAGTGAGATGTGGCCCCCAATTGCAAAATGTCTAAATCTGTGGATCAGGGCCACACAGGCAATAAACAGATAGTTCTGAAAACCTGAGGGGCTTCCCAGGTTTGTAGAAAAATCTGAAAACTTTTAAAAAATCCATTGGGGGGTTTAAATCCTACCAAAACACATTCTTTGTCTATACATGCACAAACAACATACTTACCTCCTCCAGCAGCAGCTGCAACAGTGAAGTTGGGTTGGGCTTGTTGCGAATGGAGGCAGTGGTGGGAGCTGGAGCTGCGCTGGGCTCGCCACCAGTGTAGGCCACTGGGGGGGGCATGGGAACCCAGCAGCACAGGCCGGATGCCATGCTAGGTTCACTGCGGGGAGCTCGAACCATGCTGGGCTTGCTAACATTGGAAGCAACTGGGGGAGGGAGTGGAAGATGTGGCAGGCATAGCAGCAGAGCCATGCTGGATTCGTGGGGGGCAGAAGTGGTGGTGGGGATCCAAGCTGTGCTGGGCTTGCCAGCAGCAGAGATGATGGAGGTGGAGATGCAGCAGAATCCCTGGAAGCGGCAGGGGATAGCCGGGAGCAGCCATGGCTAAGAGGGAGAAGGGATTCCCTCCCCGAGAGCATCATGGGTTGCTACTTGTGTTCACTATCAGTCTCGTATTCTGTAATTCCCAATGTCTACTCATCTGAACTTTCTCACATGCCATATTTTCTGTTAGGACTAGTTCTACAGTTTTCTTGGACTTCTGGCAATGGATTTTAAGTACACCTCAGTCATGTTGTGAAGAGTTGGGACCAAGCTCTGCCACTGATGCCATGGCAGCAAGGGCACATATCCTGGCAGCTAAATTTGCTGCAACATGGGGCTCTGCACTGTAGTCAGAATGAGCGTGGCAATACTCAGCGGAAAAGCCAAACAACACAGCTGTTTGTTGGCAACTGTAGCACTGGAACCTTTTGGCAATACTGAGACACTGAATAGTTGTTTGGGATAAGCACAGGTGCTAGCCTTGGTCTTAACAGCATTTAATCAAATGAATCAAATCAGAGTAGCTAGCAATGTATTTATTTTTTGTACTACACAGTAATTTAAAATGTGGTCCTCTCCTAAATATATTGCTGCATGCTATTATTAAAGAAAACAGATTAATAACCAAGGATATTGCCATTTAGTGTAGGCATTTTAACATTTTGATGACCTGCCTATAAAATATTTTCTTTTGAAGAGACCACTACACTAAAACCCCATCAACTATGAGGAATCTGAGGTTACCCTACCTTGAAAGGTTGTTATGAGAATGAATAAGAATTACAAACTAATTTGTACACTATCAGTAAAAGAAATAACTTTGTGTTAACATGTTTGAAATGTTCCTATCCCCCAACTGAAGCAATATCTTCCATTAATTAAATAACAGTTCTTGCAGATGCTCTCCTAATATGGATAATTTTATGTTTTTTGGACTCTTATATTGTAGCTTTAGGGAAAGGCCAAACAAAATCCAGTTATTCAGATTGATAAATAAAAGTTACTACCTGAAATGTAACACACCCAACAGGAAGATATTTTCGATCCTCAAGCATGCTTAAGTACTCAGCAACAAGTGCAGCAGAGTGGACCAAACACTGAGCAGATTCTGCATGGTTGCTCCTCTCAGAGTGCTTTCCGGCCATATTCTGCAGCCAGGTAAGTCGGAGATCGGGAGAATTCTGGTAACCCTTTGCAATTCTAGTTAAACAAGAAAAAAGAACAGAAGAGAATAAGAGTCCAGTAAGCACCTTAAAGACTAACAAAAAATTGTGGTAGGGTATATGAGTTTTTGTGACTCACTGCTCACTTCTTCAGATACCTGTATCTGAAGAAGTGAGCAGTGACTCACAATTTCTCATGCCTTACCACAAGTTTTGTTAGTCTTTAAGGTGCTACTAGACTCTTACTCTTTTTTCCTGCTACAGACAGACTAACATGTCTACCCATCTGGATCTATCTTCAAAGAAGAAAGAAGTTTCATATCAGCCCATGTTTAATTTCTTATATGTTCTCAGAAGGTAGCAAGCCAAGTAAACCCCCAACCTGTACATCAAGTCAATCAGCATCTCTGGATCTTCCTGATGTTCTTTCATTTTAACTGTATCAGACAGGATCATATGGAGATTGAAAACAAGATCCTGGACCTGAAATGTAGTGCAAAGTAAGCATCTGTCAATTATTTTGTATTTCATTTCTGTAGTAAAAATCAAAATGAGAAAAATCTCTTTTTATCATGTCCTTTACAAATGAAGCCCACCAAGGATACAAGATAAGCATCTCAGTATATTGAATGTTACATTTGTCAATAGTAAATATTTGTTAATTCAATATTTATTCATTCAGAAAAGTTTGACTGTATTATTTGGCTGGATGAATCATTTCTAAGAAGCCTGAAATCAGATCTCAGTATATTGAATGTTACATTTGTCAATGGTAAATATTTGTTAATTCAATATTTATGAATCATTTCTATGAAGCCTGAAGTCAGACTTATTCTTGTCAAACTGAAAACTACTCTAATATTATAAGCGGATGGCCTCGTAATGATCACAAAAAACAGGAAAAAGGAACACTCATATTTATGCCATGATAATCAAGCATAATTTTCATAATTTTCCATAATAGAATTCCTCCTAACCTGATCAGGAAATGTTGTCTCTCTTAATTCCAGGTCCTCTTCAGCGTAGGTCAAAATGGTCTTCAGAGAACGCCTCAGAAATTCCTCATTAAAATTCTGAGATGTTCCCACTAAGGACGACAGTGACATGGTCACTTGCATTTTCACTCTGGCAAAATTCTGAAACAGAAGATTTGTTATGGAGGCGATGATGCCATCATTTTAGAATTGTTCTCTACAAAACTAAGTCAATGAATATCATATCCCCAAATCAGTAAATACAACAGTTTTGTTGGAGGTCATTCCTTACTGAAGAGGTTGGGCCACCTGAACTTACTATGTTTTAAACCAGTTTTTTTTTTAAAAAAAAAATCTTCATTCATATAGGTAGTTTATGGTTGGGTTGCTTAACATCAGAGTATTCTCCTTTGAAGTATGTCTAGACATGCACTTTTTGAATACTGGGTAGAACACATAAGTCTTTGGTCACTGTATAGCTAACTCAATTTGGAATAGTTACCTCCCCCCAAGTTTCAATGCATGACATAGGCACTGCTATTTGGATGTGTACCACTAGTGATATACTCACATTTCCAATCTCGAAGTTTTGCCTCATAAGGAGGTACAGAGAGGCACTGGCGTGTGAGCGTATGGTGCTAATGCTACTGCTACAATGGCGAAGAAGTCGAAGGCATAAATCAGCACATTGCTCAGTCTCTTCTTCAAACAGCAGTTCTGGGAACTATATTGGCAGAACAAGAGACATTAAACAGAGGCAGCTGGGCCTAAAAGAGCCTGCCAAATGTTAAACTGAGATTACATTATTTACACTACAATTACTACTACTTTCACCTGCCCTGGGTCCACTGATGCTTCCCCAGAAGTAAACTAACACCCCAGCCACTGTTTGCCAGCAGCAATTATAGGAAGTACATCTCTTCTCAATTCACAAAGTGAGGTGGGTAAAAACTGAAATTCAATTTTAAATAAAATTAAACAGCATTTTATTTTGATAATACACTGTTCAAACATCAAATGAAACCACCAATGCAATCCTAAACAGAGTTATACCCTTCTAAGGCCATTGATTCCAATGGATGTAGAATGGTGTATTCTGCTTTGGACTGCACGGTATAGCTCTTTACTCCCCTTACCGCAACAAGAACACTCACCTTTGAGACTAAAGCTCGCTGAGTGGCAAAGCAGTGTTGCAGATAAAGTGCACTCTGATTACAGGCCATGCTATGCAAAAGAGCCTTCAGTACCCCACCAAGAATACTTTCCTTGGATTCAGTCACAGAGACTGTCTGTAACCAGACAACAGGGAACAAGAGAAAGTTACCTTTGGATTGTCAAGGGCAGAAGAAGTTTCCAACAGAATTAGGCTAGCAAAGGGAGAATGGGAACTTCGGGAACTTCTCAGCCCAAGAGGAAGAAAAGGGAAAGTGATGGAAGATACAATGGAGGGCATGATAGGAGCAATAAGTCTGGCATCGCCTCATAGCCTATATAGATGGCATACCAGGCAGGTAGTGAGAAAGAAACTCCAAGTTACCTCTTCTTCCCCCATATGACCAATGAGAGGTGGTTTAAACACTGTGGCCCCTCAAGGACCCTGAAAAGCCCTTGCTGGGGCAACACCTGACAAGGCAGGCATAATCTTTGAAAACTCCTAGCCAAGCACATGCCTCCATCTCCTGCATGCTACTACCAAATGCCCCTGATGGAGGCAGCAAGGGGGTGTTATTTTTACAATGGCATAAATGAAACCTTCTCCCCAAACTGATTTGTGTAGTTATTGTGAGACTACTCTGAGAGTAGAGTGAGGTTCATATGCCTAAGGCAAAAGCAAACTGAAGGTCTACATTCGAAGCTTGTGGCATTAAATGTTTTTGGATCACATATCTGATAGCTTATTTATTTATCAGGTTTATAACCCTACATTATCCATAAGTTCAGTGTGGATCACAGCAGATCTTCTAGACACAGGTGTATTTACGTCATCAAGGAGTTGATGGGAAAAAGTTGATGGAAAAAAGCTAATGGAATAAGAAAAATGTCAAAGAAGAAAGAGGTGCTGGATGCATATATAAGCAGTGCAATCGTAAGCAAGGTTACACCTTCGAAGTCCTCTGACATCAATGAACTTAGAAGGCTGTAACTCCACTTAGGATTGTACTGCAGGAATCTTATCTGTCTGACTGGCTGGTTTGCGTTCTTTATTTGTATACTACCAAGATACTCCCATTTTGCATATGCAACTCTTAGAAGCAGCAGGTGAGGGAAAAAACTAAGAAGCACCAGGTGAAATGTCAGAAACCCTAGTTCAGAATATGTATGCAAGGAGCGCAGACAGGGAGCATTGCCAGTAATATCCTCTCGGAACAGCAGCATTACACAGTTCAACCCATTAGCAATCCTGTAAGATCATCTGTAACACGTCCGCCGTCTTCCTCACCTGGACGATTATCTCTAAAGTATCCAAAATAATTAGGTTTGCCTCAGTTGCCAGGTTGCCATCAATAAGTGCTTCATGCTCTATCTCTGCTCTTGATCTGGTAAAAGTAAAATGAATGGAAAAAAGATTTCCTTTAAATAATAAAGCAGTCTATATTCTACTATAAAGATTTTTCATCAGGTGAACCTTCACTAATAACAGCACATTTTGGTCATAGGTGCCATCACAAGAATATCTTTTGCATAAATATGCTAAAAGTAGGGAGAATAGCAAATATCCACATGGCTTAAGCTAAAAAAACCAAGCAAACAAAGACACCCAACTAGTTATGTACATTTACATGGGGGCATTTCTCAAAAGTAGCCTCTCCACACCCACAGAGTAAACCACTTTTGAAATAGAGGGGATTCTGAAAAGCAGTCTGGTGATGTGGAATGGGAATCTACTGTTCAAAGAACAATGCCAAACATCCAATTGAGCATGTCCAAGCCCTTAAGTATGACTAAAGGAGCTCTTTGGATGCCAGCAGATGTGATTTGCATCTACCCTCTCTTTGTGACAATTTTCTTTCTTTATCATAACGGTGCCAAAAAGTCATCCTTTAAAGCTAAATGATTAAATCTTCAATGTATGCCTGCCTGAGAAACACAGTTCAAGAAATGAAACATGCATTCCAGTGAAAAAAAGCCAACCTTCTGTTCATTTTGACATCAATGAAGATAAGCTCCACCAGTACTCTGCTTCACAATCTGAACACAGGGTGGTGCTATGTGAGTAAATTTCTGAAATTCACCAACCTGACAGGCATGGTACCAATGGAAATGTATCTCTCAAGAATAAAGACATCCCACTGATGCTTTGCCCTGCTCCATTTATATCCTATATGCTTCCTAACATATTTTCAAAAACTAGAAGCTGAAGGCAATTTTTACAAACTGTAGCAGCACATACTACTATCTGAATCAATTCAGATCAGGAAAAAGCCTTTGCAGCAACACAGCCATAATATGAGGAATGCATTGTATTAAAAACTTCCAAACAATTTGCTATTAACATTCATTTCAAAAAAACAGAAGCTCTACCTAGTTTACACAGCAGGCTTCCTCCAATGGAAGAGCCACTTAAGTTAAGAACGTAAGAAGAGAGCCCTACTGGATCAGACCAGACCAATGATCCTTCTAGTCCTGCATACTATTTCACACCGTGGCCAACCAGTTTCTCCGGATGGCAAACAACAGGGCATAGAGGCTGAGGCCTTCCCGATGTTGCCTCCTTGCTCTGGGATTCAGAGGATCAGTGCCTCTGAAATGTGGAGGTTCCCCTCAGTCACTATGGCTAGTAGCCATTGATAGCCTCATCCTCCATGAATCTATCTAATTCCTTTTTAAAGCTATTTATTCCTGTGGCTGTCACTACCTCCTCTGGCAGTAAATTACACATTTTAATCACTGTCTGTGTAAAGTAGTATTTCCTTTTGTCCGCTCTGAACCTACTGCCCTTCAGCTTCATTGGATGCCTTCAAATTCTAGTATTTTGGGAGAGGGAGAAAAATTTCTCTTCATCTCCATCCCATGCATAATTTTATAAACTTATCATGTCCCCCTTAGTGATCTCTTTTCTAAACTGAAAAGTCCCAGACTCTTCAGCCTTTCCTCATAGGGAAGGTGCTCCAACCCCCAAATCATCTTGGTTGCCCTCCTCTGCACTTTTTCCAGCTCTGCAATGTCCTTTTTGAGATATGTTGAGTTGAAAGTAGACTCCTTTGACTGGAGAAAGACTTCAAACTTGAATCAAAAGAAAAGGTGGGATGGAAATATCTTAATTAATTAGTCTAGTGGCAGGACAAGGGTAGGATCCACCCCACTGTTGCAATTGTTATCTGCTAAAAATTTCTTAGGAACATGAAACTCCTTGTTTTCAGCCCCTTGTACAACTGAAATTTGTTTTTAAGTCCTTACATGCTGAAAAAAATTATACTTGTAAATGTAAGATAGCAGAAATGCATTCATTCAAAGGGTAAAGCTTGGTTTCTGCAAAGGAACTTTGGATGACTCATCCATAATACTTCTCAGAGCTCCAGTTGCAAAAATGCTCTTCCAATACAAAATTGTATGTTGTAAGTTTTATCTAGTCCCCCACTCTCTGGATTGAAATTCAAGGTAACATTCATTCTTCTTTAAATGTACATTCATATACAGGCACACATTAATGTCTCCAGTGCTCTTTTTGTAGAAAAAGCCCAACAGGAACTAATTAGCATAACAGGCCACACCCAATGGCACAAACCTATTAGCATATTAGGCCACACCCCTGACAGCACAGCTCATTAGCATATTAGGCCAATATTCTCTCTGGGCTGCACATGGCAAAAGGAAATTTTAAAAGGACTGATCTGAAAGTGTCCCCTGCCAATCTTGTTCATGCAGATCGGCTTACCATTTAAAAACAGACACCCTGTGAGGCAGGCGGGACTGAGAGAGCTCTTTCGAGTACTGCTCTTGAACAGAGAACAGCTCTGAAAGAACTTGTGATTGACCCAAGGTCACACCAGTAGCTGCAAGCAGAGGAATGGGGAATCAAACCCGGTTCTCCTAGATTAGAGTCCATGCTCCTAACCACTACACCAATCTGTAACTCAAAACCTTTAGAAGCAAGTACAAAACATAGGACACCCTCTCCACCACATCAGAGCCTTTAAGTAGATCATTTCCAAAACATTCCTTCAAAGCCTAATTACATGATCTAAGCAGCAAGCAAGATATACTGTTTTGAAAAGTATTTCCCACATAAATACTCAGAGATCCTGTGGTCTCTCAGCAGTGACATTCACAAGCTGTTGCTTGTATCCAACCCAGAAGGCTAAAGATGCATCAGATTCCTCAATGTGATGCTTAAGCAATGGGGAGGGGGGAGAGAATGAGAAGGCACTTATGTAAACTAAAAACACTGGGACACTCTTCAGCTATTAACACTTGGTCTTAAAGGTGCCATTGGACAAAATATTCCGATTTTGAGAAATATGAAGATATTTAATGAAATGGACAAGATATGCAGAAAATTTGTTTGGGCAAATAAGACCCCACGGATTAAATGGAAGGTTTTACAAGATCGAAAAGAACAAGGGGGGGTGAAACTCCCAAATTGGAAGCTCTATTATTCCGCAGCAGCAATGTCTTGGATAAAAGAATGGGTCACCTTAGAAAACAAGAGACTGCTGACGTTAGAAGGCTTTGATTTGGATATGGGGTGGCATGCATACATAGGTTATGATAAGGATAAAATACACAAGAAATTTAATCAACATACTGTTAGAGGCGCACTAAACAAGATCTGGCAAGAGATTAAAGATAAACATTATCTCATTTGCAACCTGTATGGATTGTTAGAGATCCATATCCTTTTCCTTTAATAGAGGCTTACTGTGTGGAAATGGACAGATGAAGCTTTTCATGGCAGGAAAGTAAATGATATTCCATTAAGACTCTGTTAAAAGTACAGGACGATGTTTTTTCTCTGGGCAGTTTGCAACGTTAAAACTGTAACTGCTCCTGCTTGACCAGAGAATTCAGCCACAGCAACTGACATATTGTCATAATCAGGTCAAGTGGAGTTTGGCCAGGTAGCTCTGCCGGCGAGGGGCAGGGCGGGCTCGGGAGCCAAACGGAATGCCGTTCCAGGGTGTTCCAGCTCAAACATAGCCCTGAATGTTTCCATATATACATCCTTATACGTACATCTGGGTATAGAATGAGTTCAGGTGGTAACTCATATCTAAGTTACTATTTTGCTTCTCAAAATGGTAGAAGGTTCAATACAGGCAGCCTTTCCAGTGTTAGCTCTTCCTTCAGAGGAGTAGGACTAAAGGGGTCTGGAAGGTTTTGTATGTTATAAGGTGCATGGAGCTTATGGAGTGGTAATTTAAAAATGATTTTAAAATTGTAATAAATGGCTCTGTTGTAAAAAAAAATCTTTTCACTTGCCAGATGAAACCAAATTGCCAAGAAAGCAACAGCTACTGCAGTTTCTAAGGCAGGATGGATGGACTGCTACAAGCTCCAAGAAGACCATGAGCCCTTGCAGGCAGCATCTCAACCTGCTTCTTTCCTAGGCTGGTGCATTTTAGTTTTGGAGTGTCCAATGTACCTGGGAACATGATTTCCCATTGCCATTTGATATCTGTACTTTATACAAATTTGCCACATATCAAGGCTGCACTGCAATAAAAATATATATTCTGTTAATTTTACTGAGCACTCTCTAACTCTAATTTTGTGCAAAGTATTTAATTAACGTCACAATCCATCCATGCTTTTATGTGTCTTTATGACTCCCATCTTAGCTGGCTCCTCAATTGACAACATCAGCAGGAGCTGATAAGGATAGTTTTCTATATCCCTGAGACTCTCAACAAGTTTGGCTTCCATGCTCCTCTCTTTCTTTCCCATGTCTATTATATCCCATTACAGTCACACCAGAAAGAAACATGCTCATAGGTGTTCTGACTGAATTAGGGCCTTGCAAGGCAATGAAAAAAATGGATGGAGCAGGCTTGGTCAAAGAGTCCATCCACAGGATGAACCTATGTGCAGAGCCTGGCAGAGTGCAGGGGAGGTTTCTGGAACCCCTTCTCCTGAGAGTCCATACATAGGCCTGGTGGGAACAACCTCTGTAGGCAAATGATGGAACCTTGCTACATTGCTTTTCTTGGCACTGCAGATCCTCCAGCCAGATAAAAAGAAAGCTGGCAGGGGATCCCAAAATCCGTGAAGAGACTTATCCTCTTCAGAATCCAACACTTCATTTAAGAGACTGCCCATGTGTTTTCTACTGTTTCAGACACAATTCAAATGTACAGAAGGCAGTAATTGCTTTGAGCTCGAAGGTGCTCGAAAGGCTTCGAAAGGGAGAACAAAGGGGCACTAAATTCTACTCTCTTCACTTGAGACAGCTAGTGTAGAATACAGTTAGAGCCTAGATTAGGACCAGAGAGAACTAGGTTCAAATTCCCACCCAGTCACAAAACTCTCTGAGTGACCTTTGGCCAGTCTACTCTCTTTCAATCAAAACTACTTTACAGGGTTGTTGTTGTGAAAATGGAAGAGAGGAAAAATGTACACTTTTCTGAGTGTCTTGAAGGAAGAGAAAGATAAAATTGTAGACCAGAATATGCTTTAAAATAGAACTCTTCAGAGAAGGCATACTGGGGAGGGGGCCATGGCTCTCAGTGGAAGAGCATCTACTTTGTATGCAGAAGGTCCCAGGATCAACCCCCGGCTTCTCCAGCTAAAAGGATTAAGTAGTGGGTGATATGAAACTTGTGTTGGAGACCCTGGAAAGTCAATCAGTAGTATCACCAGATCACCAGAGAACAAAGTGACAGCCAAAGACACTGTACTGCAGACATGCTGTATGCTACAAAACAGCAGGGGATATCCTGAAAGAGGATAAATCCACCCTTGCATTTTAGATATGCCATTTTGCAAGGAATATCTGCAAGGCATCTCAGCTTGCCACAAACTGCACACTCAATGCTTTTTTAGAAGACAGAAAGCATGCCAAGCAAAGCTAAAACCACAATTCCAATGACTAATTAACATACACCCCCCATTTCCAGCACTAGCGGGCGCTATAAAGCAAAGAGACTATTTCTCTCATACACGCACATACAAAGCTGCTGCCAAGCATCATAAACTGGAGCTGTGTTGACAGAGTACGCAGAAATCCAAATGCCAGAAACAAAACGAAACAGAGAGCAGTATGCCAACGCTACAGTACCTGGCTGGTTTGTGGCTTCTAAAAACACAGCACATGTGGAAAAATAATCAAAGTGATGGATTAGGGGAGGAAAAGAGAGCAAGCTTTGAGCACCCCAGAATGCTCTAATGAAGAAAGTAACACAGCTGTAATTTAAAGCATGCTAGAGCAGTCTTACTAGAACACAGTTTTCACTTACTTAGCTTGACAACACAACCTGTGAGTGTGAGACAGATACCTTTCAAGCCCCGTTTCTTATGAGATTAGTTCTTGTCTGGTTCAGGTTGGAATCTTTGTACACTAAGCTTCAATAGGAACAAAAACTTATGTGTTCCAAATCCATTTGTTCCTTCTGCTTAGACCAAATCACAGACTGACATTACATCTGAACCCGCAAACCATGGTTTGTGTTTGCCTTTAAACAAGGAGCAGAAAGCACAGCTGAAAGGGCAACACAAACCATAAAGTCAACTATGATTTGTGTGAAATATCGAGTAACTAGCTGAGCTTGAGCATGCATGTGCAAGAGAAGGAAAAGGGAGGACTGGAATATACAAGCCTGGCAGTGCAATCTTAAGCAGAGTTATGTCCATTGACTTCAGTAGACTTAGGAGAGTATAACTCCGCTTAGGATGGCACTGACAGGCTAAGTCATGTCACTCCAAACCATGGTTTGGCATTATTCGTGAACTTTCAATTTGTCACACAGTGATTCCACTATTAACATCATGGATGAAATAGAATTTACTTGTCAAGTTTTTCTGTGTTCTGGCGCCAGTGAGTCATATCCTTTCTCCATCTCAGGTTCTCTTGACTTCCAAATGCACTTCCAGAAGGACTTCTTTCTGTCAAACAGAAGAGGGGAAAAAGCTTTCAATATTAATTTCTCCAAAACATCATTTGATGGTGCAACAAGGATTCTCTCCACACAAGAAACAGCATGAAGTGACAATCCCGCACTTATCTGGGGCTGCCTTTGCTGCTGCGGGGCCGGGCAGCAAGAGGAGGGGAGGGGTTTTCACCTTCATAGCCTTGGAGGTGGGGGGCTGCAGCATAGGCTTCATTGCAGTCCTGGCAGCCAGTCAGGTGCCTGGGCTTGCAAAGAAGGGGTGGAGATTGCAGGAGGGCCTGGAAGCCAGAGTGGCTTACTCTGATCCACCCCTCCATTGTTTGATGGGCTGCAGGTTTGCTCCACACTTTCCCGCCCATTCTCCCTTGGTTTAGTAGTTTGTGGGTGTTTTGGTATGTGGGTTATGTTGCAAGCTTTGTCACAGCCCTTATGGGTGGTTTAGGGCATCATGCCGGATCCAAACTGGGGAAGGCCAAGCTGGTAGGCCTGCCTCCAGTGGTGTGGGGACCCCCCATAAGGGGTCAAGAGGGTGGAGCTGTCCATGTTATGCCCAGCTCAAGGTCTGGTGCATAGCTCCAGCCCTCAGGTAGCAAGGGAACCACACAGTGGTGGTGGACGCCCATGTGTGACCCCTAGATTTGCCATCCCATGGTGCTCCCTCAGCAGGTGGGCTGGGGAGATGGGTTGTGTTATCAGCCAGCAGGTGGGTCACCCAATTATGGATCCTGCCCTATGCTACGCCATTTCCCCTGCAATGGTACTTAATAAAGGCTGTGGACATTTTCTTGCCAAATTAGTGTGGTGTTGCTATTTTGCTCCTCACCCTCGATCCTTCCCTTGCCCCTCAGCTGTAAATCATTGCCACTATCAAGTAACTATGTTTCAGGGCAATGGTCAACTTACCCAGCTGTCCTCTGCTTCGCCGTACCATTTCTTGCCTTGCCCCAATACTCCCTAGAATAGCTTCTTCAAGCTTCGCTCTCATATCTTTTGATTTCTTAAAGGTCAGGCTGTTCATTCTTTCAAATACTTTCTTACCCTATGCATTTCACCCAAAAGGGGGGGGGGGGGGAAGGAACATGAATTTGAAATATCTGTCTAAACACCCAAGCATCCACAGAGTGCAAAGAAAATTATAGGAGGAAATACAAATCATTTTTTAGAAATCTGTAAACATAAGAACATAAGAGATGCCAATGTTGGATCAGGCCAAAGGCCCATCCAGTCCAACACTCTGTATCCCACAGTGGCCAGAAATACCAGTGCCATCAGGAGGTCCACCAGTGGGGCCAGGACATTAGAAGCCCTCCCACTGTTGACCCCCCCCAAGCACCAAGATTGCTTCACACTATAGTACTGATGCATCTTAGATCTGCTGTCTTCCCTTCCCTCACATTGTGTCTTCTGTGACAGAACATACAATAGGCACCAAGAACAATAGGGCTGAGAAAACATCAGTAAGTATTTGCAAGGCCGGGTGAGATGATGATCATCATCACATTTATATCACACTTTTCAGCTTCACATGAACTCTTTTGTTGTAATCCTTACAACAGCACTGCAAGGTAGGCCAACAATATTTCCTCTATATTGCAGATGCAAGGGTCAGGCTGAGAAAGACTGGCTTACCTCAGGCCCCCTAAGTGTGTTCTTTACAGAGAATGGGAAACTTCCCACACCACAGCTTATTCTCTTAAACATTACCCTATGCCACCTCCCAAGGGCTTGGCCTCCAGGAACTGAGAAACAGAAATGGCTTGTGGGAAATTAAGAACATAAGAACATAAGAGACGCCAATGTTGGATCAGGCCAAAGGCCCATCCAGTCCAACACTCTGTGTCACACAGTGGCCAGAAATACCAGTGCCATCAGGAGGTCCAGCAGTGGGGCCAGGACATTAGAAGCCCTCCCACTGTTGACCCCCCCCCCAAGCACCAAGAAGACAGAGCTTCACTTGCCCCAGAGCCCCTAGCTATACCTTGTGGCTAATAGCCACTGATGGACCTCTGCTCCATATGCTTATCTAATTCCCTTTTGAAGCCGTCCATGCTTCAGTTTCATTAAACGATAAAGGATGGGCAAATTATCAGGCCACGATGCGAAGTCCCATTTTGAATTAGATATGTGACGTATGTTTCTGAATACTTTCACCTCCCTGAAAATTCCTTCATTATAACTATATTGGTATTACTCTACCTTGTATTCAAAGCAGGAAATACAGAGATAAAGCAAATCCAGCAAGCGGTTGAGCTGCAGCACAGACAGATCTGTGAACCATTTCTGCAGAATACTTTCATCTGCATTCTTCAGGACCCACAAGAGACAGATCAGAAGGTTCCGACTTGATTCGGCTGAAAACGGTGAATGCTGCCTGCTGGTCTAAACATATAGGAAGACCTGATTAATACCAAGGCCACACTTTCCATTTGGCCCTAGAAGACTGGCTGCATCAAACAAAGCTATTTTTAAGTTCCCGCTGGGTTTTCAGATTGTCAGAGACCAGATACCAGCCTTCAGCAACTGCAATTTAAAATGCACAAGCATTTTCTTCTCTTTTCAGAATGGGAAGAGAACTTTAAATCTTGATGTGCAGCCAAAGAGTGTATTATTACAGCCCTATCTCCCAGGAACACAGAGATAACCATCTTGTTCCCACACAATCTATTTGTCACCTCCTACCACCCACTCTCTCTCTTCGAAGAAGCTTGCAGGAAAGAACAGTGGCGTCTGTTCATGATCAAGACTGCCACCTGTCACCTCCTACCACCCACTCTCTCTCTTCCAAGAAGTTTGCAGGAAAGAACATCAGTTCACTCTTGATGTTCACTCTTCCTGCCCTGAAAGAATCACTTCAAGGCATGTGTATTTGTCTATTCACAGATGCTGTCAAGGAAGAAAGGTTTTGTACCGATGAAGTAAGGAGAAAACTGCTGGGCCGGGCAAGCTGTGGGACTGAAGTTCCTGCAATAGCCATAGCAACTGTTTGGCTTATCATGCTTCCACCCTCACTTTCATATTCTTCCACTGCTGTGCAGCTTGGCCTTCCACGCTGATTGTGACTTTCTGTAGAGAGATATGCCAGTCCTAGTAACGTACTATTGCAACAGACAATTCCCCATAATCCAGTTTCATTTAATAGAGGCTGTCGTATAAACTCCTTTCATATTGATCACATCAAGTAATGAAGGCATTCAGTCTGCAGCTATGTTTATAAAAATGTGCTGTTCTCATGGCTAAGGCACCTGCTCAGCAATACTGGGACATGTAATAACTATCAATACGTACAGCAGTACCTAGATTGCTGCATGGTGTCTAGTGACTGGTGTCATACACTGTAATTGTGGAATCATGATTTCAGACCTAAACTATCACTAAACTAATACGGACTGAAGTGTTTTGAAGATTAGTCTATATACAAATAGCATTGAAAAGTGGCTCCTGGTTTCTCAAGCAGTATTTAAGTGCATGTTTACACATTTACTCATGGAAACTGACATTTGCCCAGTGTAGGCTTAATGAAATACATAAGGCTGCCTTTTACCAACCAAGTGAGACCATTTTTGCATGCAGCTCCAGATCTGGCAGGACCGTTATGCAGTCACAGACCAAGAAATATCTTTCCCATAACTAACATAAAAGACTGGGATCTTCAGCATGCAAAGCATGTGCTCTTCCACTTAGCCACAGTTCTTCCCAGTACTGGATCAGTACTTTCTTTTCTCCTGTAGCTGCTGCCGAACTAGAAATGAATCCCTGTCTTTACACTGTGATGGGTTATCCCATACCAAAAATGGCAATCCTGCAATTTTACAGGCATAGCTTTCTCCTCACATTATTCCCACGTGTGGACATAAGATATACTAGTCAGACTCTCTTCTTAATGATGCTTTTTAAAAATCATACACTTAAGTACACACAGATAAATGCCCAAACAGGATCATTTAAGTTTATGCACCACAAGGAATGCAGACTATCTATTCAGTCTAAATATAGTTCTGTTATAGCTAAATGTACTGTTGTTGCCATGCAAACACAGGTCCTGGGGGTAACTACTACCAATTATCAGATACTTTCAGTGTAGTTGCTGCAGGTGAAATAAACTCAGCACTGATTTATTTGAACACGTTTATCTAATTCTCTTTCCAAGGGGCTCGCAGTGGCTTACATATAGCTCCCAAGAAGTCTCTTCTCTGAGCAGCTTAAAGGACAGATGTGCTTAGGTTGAACAGTCAAACTATATTGTTGTTCTCTTGGATCATTAGACGACTAGGGCAGACAAGTCAGACTAGATTCTTAACAAACCAAAAAGCACACCAAATACCTGTGAAATCATACAGCTGGGGAACACTCTCCATGATCACTCCAATCAGAGGCAGGTACAGTGTAGCTACCCTGGCCTTTACCTGTGGGTCAGAGTACCGTGGGTCGGAGTCATGGCTGGACAGCAAATTGTGTACCATATTGATGACTTTCTTGTGCAATCCAAACAAACTGTTAGAACAGAGTGGGGATGGAAGGATGAGTTAATGGTTTTAGAGCAAGTAAGACTTTGTAAACACACACACACAAGCACGCATCCCTCAGGTTTGCCCCTTTAAACTGATTTTTTTTTCCCTGTGCCAGACACTGTTTAATCTCTTGTTCACTATAAAAATACATTCATTTTGTTACCCAGTTACTTTAAAATAAAGTGACAAATGACCAGTAGGACTGGGATTAAAATTAGGTACTTTGGCCAAACTGCTTAAAGCAGGATTTCTCCATACCCCAAAACTACTCTTATTAGCCCTGCATGTCTAAAACAGGCATTCATCTATGGCCACAGACTATGCAGAGCCCACAGATGTGACTCCCCCAGTAAATTTCTCCTGCTTGCAGATGCTTCCCTTGACGCCACTGAAATCAACAAGCAAATCTCTTTCCACTGACTTGTATGGAGAAAGGGGACAAAGCCCCAGTCAAAAGGTGTGCGTGCACTTAGACTCATCCCACTTTAAGATACTACCCCCAAAGTCCAGGCACAGATGGCCCTCCATCTATGCTTCTGCTTTTCCTTCTTGCTCCTTCTACAGCGATGTTTCATTTCTTGTGCCCTCTTCTCAGCTCTTCTTTTCTTTCAGGCTTCTACTTTTTTGCCTTCCAAACTATGGGTTAGCTCATAATGCAAACTATGGGATAGCTTATAATGCAAAAGAGCACAGCCTGTTTATGGAATATCAAAAGCACAGATCCTGAACAAATAGGATCGATGCAGACTACTTCAGATGTATACGAAGTAGGAACGAAGAAATCCACAATTTTAAAACTAGCGTGATATGCCACATGAGAATGCAGTCACATTTTTAAAAATGCAAAGCCAATTCATCTTATCCTCAAGTGTGATGATCAACATATTAATTATTATCATACTATTCAGTTTTACAAAGTGGGCTTTAATACATATGTTCATGCTCTAGAACTTGCTCAGTGCTTACTTTTGTTCACACAATACCAAAGCAGCTGCTCCCCGGTGAATAAGAACATGTTTTAAATCAAGGCAGGAAGAGACACAGTTCATTGCTCGTTAGGTGGGGACGCTAGAATGTAAACCTAATCAAAATTCACAGATGCAAATGTGCAAGCTCTAGATTTGCTGGTATGGTCTCCACTCGAACCATCTGAGGGCAACAATACTGTTCTTTCATTCTTTCTATGCATGTATATCATATTTTTCAGAGCAAGAATTAATGATCTAAGGCTGCATCAACTAAGCAAAGACTGGTAACAGTCATACATTGTCTCTAACTCAAGAGTTGTTAACAACGAATGGGACGCTAAGAACATCCTACTGTGGGTAACAGGAAAGCCTCCCCCTGCATTCACACTGTCATTCATTCATTTGTTCGTTTATTCGTTCATTCATTCAAACATTTATACCCTACCTTTCCTTGTGGTTCTAGGTGGCTTACAATAATAGTTTTTTAAAATTCCAGTTAAAACCAGAAAATAGCAAGCCCCAAATCTCTCCCTCCCTCCTTAAAAAGATGCATGTCATGCACATGACTGTATCATTGAGTGACAATCTGCACTGATTACGTTGATAGGTTAGACCTGGGGGCAGCAAATTAAACAGCTACAAAGTTCTGCCAAGATCAACACAGACTGGGTCTTGGGAAAGAACATGTTTCCTTTCTTTCTCTTCTAAACAGCACATTTCATCACAGTCCTACCTCATGAGGAATTCTGCTTGTGAGACATTAGATCCACTTTGAATTATTTTACCCTGCTAGAAACCATTGAAAAACTCACCCTTCTGCATCAGGATCTAAAATGACAGCAAGCTCAGTAAGCACCAGGCCTGCCAAGTAGTGCTGCTGGCGGAAAGGCACAGACAGTTCAAACATATTTGCAATCTTCTGATCTTGAACATTCGTTGAGAATCCAGAACTCTGTTCCAAAGGCAAACATTGTCCTTACATTTACAGCCAACAGACAGACACCCTCTATAGAGTATAAACACTAAGTTTTTTGTGTGTGTAGTTTAAGCAATCGGCTGCACAAGTAATTATAAGTACAAGACGCTTAAAAAAAAAAGCTCTAGGTCCCCAGAAAGAGTCCACAAATATTTTTGTTACAACAGTACTCTCTATCTTTGCATATCTGGATCAACAGAAGCTAAAATTTCCTACACTGAATTTTATAGGGCAGATACTACACCTCTAAAGAAAGAACTTTATCCTTACAAAGTTTTCTTGCTATTCTTTTAAATGGATTTAACTAGATTTTTATGCTATCAACAAGACTCCTGTTCCGTTTTTTGCTGCAACAGACTAAAACAGCTGCCCTTCTGGAATTATTACACTATCCACATGAGAAAAAAAGGCAGTCCTCCCATAGCAGCTATTATGGCATATAAACACCGTCTTTCCCAAAGGAAAAAAAAGCATACAAAGGTAATTGAGACCATATGATGCCCTGTCATTATCACAAGAGGATGCCTGAAATTGACACACACACATCCTTAGGACAAATCCCAGTGGATCTTCTTTTGGGATCAGGTATGCTTTCTCAAAGCATCTCATCTCTGCACTGCAGACATGTAAGGAGTTCTGTCCACACTGATTCTCTTCCAGTACTCATGGCTGACTTTCTTAAGTGAGAATACTGGTGCCATATGTGAAAAGGTGCCTGTCTGCACTCCTCTCCTCCAGCAATCCAAAATTGTTTTGGAAATGAGTTTGCATTAGTAACTACCATAATAAGTATCAATGGAAATTTATATTCAGAATAGAGCAGTGCTATGAAAAGAACCTGATTCTACATGAGATGTCAGTGTCCACTGGATTTTTACCCCCGTAAGCCAAACAACATTTATTTCAGATACCCTTTGTTTTGCTGCCCACCTGAGATGTTGCTGATGATACTGAAGGTGAAGGGGATGCCGGGGGCGTCAGCAGACTACAGGGTAAATTCAAGGTAACGTAGTGTTCGTGACTACAGACAATCCGAAGGAAGTCTAGCCTCAAGGACACAAGAGTGCTTGGATTCGGTAAGGAATACAGCTTGGATGACACCTTGTGGATTTGCAACAAGCAAAGTTAATAGCAGTAGACCACAATGAGACACGATCATGCAAATTAAGCAAATCTTTGTTTCGTAGGCAGCAGAATCAGTCAGGCCAATGTCATGTACATCACATTTACTATTTCCTATGTGAGTTAACAAATAAGTCAAAGTTTTTCCACACAATTCCAGGCCTGTTTTCTTACTGGAAAACTCCCCCCCGCCAAACAGCTTTTGGAGGCTCACACAAACTGATAACTATTCCCACTTGTTTGTTCCCAGCAATTGGTAACCTCTTTTTAGCAGCAATGACCTGGGTCTCTTCCCAAAACGAAGAACAGAACCAGATTCAAATCAAGAACCTTCCACACCATTCTCTTTGCCAGCCATGCTAGTAAATTTTTGTTATAAGGACGAATTGTTCTCCCTCCTTACCCTCCCATTCCTCCTGCTCGTCTGCCTCTGCCTCAAATGGTCCATCCCCATAGATGTCCTTTTTATGTGTACACTGTACCTGCTTGTAGTAGGCCTTAATAAGGCTGAAGACAAATCCTCTATCCATGACAGACAATAGATCATTGAGAAAGAACGCTAAACTAGTGTTGAGTCTTTCAATCATTTCCGTATCCTGCATTGGAAAACAAATGAAAGGAAAATAAAGGACTGCTGCAAACGTAGACTAGCACTGCAGTTTCATACTAAGACCCTGATCCGACAACTTGTCCTGTGTTTTGCAAGCATCTTTCAGGATCAGGGATTAAATTTTGACAAGAGTACAGCTGAATTGCTTCCATTACCTTCTGAAACCGGGAGACTATATCACTGGCAATTGTGCTGACCAGAGCAGCTATGTCATCCATGAAGCGCTCTGGAAAACGATTCTTCCTTGGCGCATCGAGTTTGTCAGCAAAATACAAATGATGCACCATACTTTTCACCTGGAGGGAACATATATTACCAGTTTCAGTCACTTGCAAGAAAAAGGTCAGCCATATGATTTGATACGCTTCCAGCATCCAGAGTTCACAGTTAAAACAATAGCTATAGATTCATCCACACTAAAGATGCATTGAATGTTCAGAGCAAATACCTTCAGACTTCTTTGGGGGAGAGTGTTTTGTTCTGTACCTATTCACAGCATAATCTACTGTTTCTTTTAAGCCATTTTTCTTTTTTATAGGGTTCCTTTCTACTTTACTATATCATTCCAGTCAAATCAGGAATCACACAGTAAGCACAGTAACATCATTTCCTGATTGGTTGCACTGGGTATGTTTACAGGAACATCTATGCACCCTTTTGAGTCTCTACCCCTTAACATCCATGAAAAGGGACTCTGGGAAACGTTCTAGAAAACTGTGCTTCCTTGCCATTCTAGTTCATCTTTAATCACTCTGGTGTGAATCCAACCATGAGTTTTCCTGAGTTACTCCTTGTTCTTGTGACACATTCTCCCCCAAAGATCATTCCCAGGTTTGTGGGAACAGCTGTGTGCCTTGGGGTATGGGAGTGAGGAAGGAAAAGGGGAGTAAAATCATTCCTCCATCTGCCAGGACAGCCCCACTGAGGAAAGGGATTCATTTCATCCCGTCATCCCTCATTACTCCAGCCCACTACCTGAATGACTGTTCTTCTGTACAACCCCCACAACCTCAAGTCATCTTGAACACATTAAATGTTTACATGAAGAAAAACAAAATGCTACCAATTTAGTGTTTTTCCATTCTCTTACCATAAGTTCGAAGAAGAACCAGGCCTGCTGAAGAGCCGCCTCACGTACACTCCCACTGCAGACAACCCACTGTAAAGCCAGTTCTTCATGGAAGAGCTAGCCAGATTCAAATCCATATTTGATGTCAGTTGCTTAATTATTTGCCAAAACATAAATCCACACAAAAACCAACAACAACCAATGACACACAGTGAAGGAGGATGATAAGCAAAACAATAAACGTGAACACAATAGCAATGGCAATGTCTTTAATGAAATACTTAAGCAGCAATGTCAGACATTAGTGGTGTGGTATTTGTGAGCAATATTCCACAAAGTCGATCCATAGTTGTAATGGGAGGGTTAACAAGTCCACTTTTTTCCCTCCAAATGTTTAGCTATCAAATTAATTTAAACTTTTTTTGGGGTTGCACTAAAGCTAATAGAAAACCATAGGAGAGGATTTTTGAAAGAGATTTAATGATGAAGTAGATACAATAGAGAAAAGATAAGTGCAGCCCACAGCAGGTTACTTAGGCTGCGGTCACACACACTAAATAATGCACTTTCAATACACTTTCAGTGCACTTTCCAACTGGATGTTGCCAGTTCACACAGTAAAATCCAGTTGGAAAGTGCACTGAAAGTGGATTGAAAGTGGATTATTTAGTGTATGTGACCACAACTTTAAAGGGCTTTCTTCTCATATGCAAATCTGCCCTGCAACTGAGACCATTACAAGCAAGCCCTTCTCCAGATTTCCCTTCCTTCCAGTGAGGCTAGCATCTACGTTTTCTATGATCACATCTTGTCTGAGAAACATCCACCTTTTAGGCACCAGGAGAAGTCTGGCCCTGTTTGTCTGACCTTCTGGTAGTTGAAACCCCAACCTACTTTTCACATCCTAGCTCTGTATTTACTACATCTCGTTTCTGTTTCTGATTTTACTTTATGCTCTCACAGGTTTTATGGTATTTGAAACAAGTATTTTATTGTAGTAGTTTTGTTTTTGAGAGCCAGTTTGGTGTAGTGGTTAAGTGCGCGGACTCTAATCTGGGAGAACCGGGTTTGATTCCCCACTCCTCCACTTGCACCTGCTGATGTGACCTTGGGTCAATCACAAGCTCTGGCACAGCTGTTCTTGAAAAAGAGCAGTTTCTGTCAGAGCTCTCTCAGCCCCACCTTCCTCACAGGGTGTCTGTTGTGGGGAGGGGAAGGAGTTTGTAAGCCGCTCTGAGACTCCAAGTGAAGGGTGGGGTATAAATCCAATCTCCTCCTCCTCCTCCTCCTTTTTCATGATTGTAAGCTGCACTGATTAGAAAGGTAGCACCTATATTTTTACAAACAGACAAATCAAATTGCTTGTAGCTCTCTGCTGGCAGTTTTCCTTCAGCGGTCATTGTCAAGCTCTGATACCTGAGTCAGTTTTCACAAGGACAGTGTGGCTGCTCCTCCCTCATGGCTCCCACACTGCCTTAGAAAGGACAGCATAAGGGAATTTACATGGAGAGGCTGTGACTGACAACATGGGTAATTCCCAGTGGGAACTGTCACTTCTAACAATCTGTTCTAACAATCTCTCTCATTCTAACATCACCAGAGGAATGTAAGATTCAAGTACAGGGAAACAGAAATCATCAAACAGAAATCACCCAGCTACAACCCCCATCTGTGAGAAAAAAGAAAGGCTGACGACAAGGCAACACCTAAGCATCCCCTCATGATCCTTGGACCAAAACCTTACTAAGACTCTCCCCAACTCCCAAAACATCTTTTTATGATATTTTAATTATACTTATTACTGTAATTGGGAGCCAATTTCTGGCTGAAAAGTGGGGCAAAAATACAAAAAGTAAATGATATAAGAACTGGCCCTCTCCTCTGGGGAGTTTAAAGAACAATCTGTGGTCTGGATATGGGAGGGAAGAGCTACTGAAATAAAAATACTAGACCCAGAAAGCCATCTGAAGTACAAAGAATTAAATTCCTTTTCTTCACTCTCACAGAACAAGGCCTGTGACAGAGAGTGACCCTGCTGGATGCCTTTAGGAAACAGTTCTTTCTTTGTCCATCCAACTTGTGTCTTATCATACCTTTGGAAAACAGAGTATGGACGGAAGTTAAAATATCTGTTTCTTGTTTAAACCAAATCCAGAACTCATGAAGAATAGCCATAAAACTTTAAGTGGAAGCTGCTGAAGAGCTCACTTTCCCATGAGCTTATCTTGTGCATGTCATCCACTTAATCTTTGTACTGAGTGACCAAACAGGAAAAAGAAACCCTACTCTTGGCTGGATCCTACCATTTTGCTCCATCAGTACCCACATGCTCCTTTGGGGTAAAGTGGCTTCTGCTGATGCAATAACGGAACAAAATGGTAGGATTTAACTCCCTGTTTCTTTTGCACACTTCTAGATCATGCCCAGTTTATAACAGTTTGCAGCCCTGATATATAAAAGAACTGAGCAACCACAGCTCTAGTTGACTCAGCACTCCCAAGATCAGGGCACAAACACAGGACACATTGTGTGATGGCTTAATGGTTTATAATGACTAAACTTCCCTGCCCCACCACAAAATATCAAATTGTCTTCACTAAGATCTACCTTTTTAGTTGGTAACCGTCCTGTTAAAGTTTGTAAGAAACTTGCCGTCTCTGTATGCGAGGACATACGATTACAACTTCGATCTGCAGCCTACAGAGTGGAAATGAATGCATGATGACAGCACATTAAAATTTGTCACGGATGACATCTGCAGCTCTGGGAAGACAAACATCAACAAAGTACAGGCCCACAACAAAAATGTCAGAAGCTGCTGATCATATACAGATCTCATTGAAACAAAATGACAACAAATACCCAACTTTGGAACTGGTTTTTTAAAAAACCGGCAAGGCTATTTGTGGTCTTTAAATGTCATGTATAATATTTTTGCATAACTATATTTAATGTTGCAAAGCATGAAATTTCAATATAGCATCATTATGTTCTGTTGTCATACAAGTGTTAAGAAAAGTGTATTTTAAGTTTTCAGAATCATTCCTCCCAGCTGTGTAGTTATTACCCAAAATGTAAAATCCACAAGAATACAGATATTCCACAGAACTACAAAATCAAATTTGATTTGTGACAACAGATTTAATCTGAAGTAATATTCTTTGAAGGTTTGTTTTTGTTGTTTTTTCTTTGAAAAAAGCTGAGAGACATGTTCAACTGATTTCAGCCATTGGTTTGGTGGTATAAAAATCTAACAAATAAATAAATAACCATGCAATGTTAAGAAGCAAGCAACTATGGTTAATGTATCAAGTTACTATATATTTCACACTTTGCAACAAAACTGTTTCTTACAACATTTTTTTTCCAGTACCCAAACTTCATTTAGTTGAAACTAATGTAGACAAATGGTTGAGTTTTAATGTATGTCATTCAACCATTCACATGATGAAGGGAGGACTGCTGATTGATGAACAGAATGCATTATGAAAATGATAAAAATGGTAAGTAGTATTATCAATATAAAAAATAATTTTGCAAGGATTTGTATTACATGTTCCCACAAGGAATATGCTTTGTCTAATATACCAAACCATTGTAAATAATGCTTACAATTAAATAAAAAGAACAGAAAGCACAAAAAATTCACAAATCCAGAAGCAACTGAAATATGGTAGGGGAAAATAATGTTGGTGTTTGGTGGTTTTTCATGCAGTACAGAGGACTGGGGGAGGGGGGTGTCATGAGTTCTTGAAAAACAGATAAAAGCAAGCCAAGGAGACCATGGTGTGGACTTAATTGGGAAAGATGTAGTGTCAGCCAAGGCAAGAGAAAGAAAGAAAGAAAGAAAGAAAGAAAGAAAGAAAGAAAGAAAGAAGCTCTAATGTAGACACCACCTGTGTTGTCTCTGCACTTGGACTGGGGTTGGATCCCCATGGGGCAGCTTTTGGAGCACCAGTATTTACCCAGGAATTGGAGCGATCTAAGCCCTGGGCGTATAATAGAAAGCAGTAAGGAAAGGAAAGAAATATTACATGTTGCATGCCATATAGTACAGGAAAATTAGAGAAATTAATTCCTTCAAAGAAACCCAGTGCATAATCAACACAAATGCATCACCAATTAGTATGGTTAAATAAACCCCTGAGTTTTAGTTTACAGGGTTATTTTAATGGCTTCCCCCTTCATACACATGCTCAAAGATCACCTACCTAAGAAATCTATGGGGCGCATAGATATGCATTATCAACCGTTTCTCTTGAGATATCATATTTCCCTATCATTTGTTCCATTACTTGCCTGCACATCCTCTCAAACAAATACTGGGGATCTAATTCTTACACACATGTACAAATCTGTATCTTTTCAAAGTCTAAGGCACCAGATTACTTTTTAAAAGATCTTGATTCCTACACCCCTTTGAACTATTACAGCTACCTGTTCTCATTTTATAGTACAACCAAAGGTCTCCTGTCATATGATTAATAAATGACCCAAGCACCAGAGAATTTTATAACTATGAAAAAACATGAAAGACCTCTTAGAAGTTTAAAAAACAATCACAGTAAATAAACTTCAGCAATGGCAAAATTCAATCTTGTAAACTAGATTTCAGCAAAAGACACTTTGTGTTTATTTGGTTGGTTTTCTACACCAAGCTTTTTTAAAAACAGGCCTTTTAAAAGCCCACTGAGCAGCAAGCGGACCATGCTGTTTGTGTCGGCTACATTCAAATGTCAAAAGGAAACTGACTGTCTGCTGCCGGCACTTGTTTGCCATGCTCACATGCTCTTCCCTTTTCCATGTGACACAATTCAAAACATCTTGGTTTGATCCCGCTTCAATTTACTGTGACATCCAAACTGGCCTTGGCACTGTGGAGTCTGCTTACTCCTCACAAACTAGGATTTAAAACTGGGATTAGACTAAGATTTAGAACCTCAGAACGTGCATTTGGACATTGTGGTGAACCGAAGCTTGCTCAAACCAGAAGGGCACAGAAAAATGTTAACATGGCAAAGAAGCTGCACTCATGGCCATGACAAACAAACAGGTTTGTTGTGACATATGAATGCAGCAAGTGTTAAAGCTAAAGAGGTCTTGCCTCACCAGTGTTTTAAAGGAAGGCTGCTAGGGAGTCTCATACATTTCCCAAAGGAAAAGCACACCATAAACTATATAAAAAAAATCTAAACCTTTTTAAAAAACCATACCATGTGTCATTAGTTATTTATTACCTTCATCTGTTATTTTACATACCAGCAAAATACCCTGCTCAATTTACAGCTTAACTGCCCCGAATTCACCCCCCAAATTTGGTAAAGTTTTGGGGGGTTTTGGTAGTGTGGTAACTTGCTGTGTTATTTCTTAACATATCCATTTAGTTTAGAGATAGCTGGAGCAGAGAAATCCAAAGCTGGGCATGAATTTCATGTGTTTTTCTGTTTGTTTTTTATACCTTATGGAGAGGCATGACTTCTATTAGATTGTTCCCATGTGAGTGGGTATGGGACCTGATGGGCATAGTTCACGCTTTGGAGTACAGGTAGAAGTATGCAGATTCTCAGATTTTTGGTGTGGAGACTGAACTGACACATAACATACTGACACTGCAATTCTCTGCTTTTGACTCAAATAACATTTGAGTTGGTTTCCATGAAAATTCTTATAGCTTTGACCACACTTCGTACTTAGTGAAATGGGGCAGGACTAAGTCTTCCTAAACCAGGTGCAATAAGAATTGTTACACCAATAAACAGTTTTTGTTTTGGCTTTTGGCTTTTTTGAGGTACCAAGGTTTTCTACCAAGCTTCAGAAGTACAGCAGAGCCAAAAATTAGATTTTGGTAGACAAAAACATTACTTTTTGCAGCAAAACTGAGTGTTATCACTGACATCAAAAGATCCTGAGTTTCAGAATACCTCTACCACGCAGTAATATTACTCCTTCCACCTTATCAAACAGCAGAATATGTTTAAGTAAGAAAGCTTCTGTCCATTTTTATGGCCAAATTATCCAGGCCAACCAGTTCACGTAAAACTTATCATCTCGTAGGTAAATTCCATGTGCACATCACTCCCTTAGGCATTTCACAAAAGGTCAAAGTGTTTTAATTCGCAAGACCATTAAATGTATACTTAAATACTCCTAATTGTCCATGTCAATGCCTTAAATGCTTAATAAGAACATGTGTCACTGTTTGAGATTAGTTTTTTTTTAATTTACTCAAAAATGCTTAATTCCTTGGTACCTCCATTTTCCCCCTGCCTTTTTATGCAAATGGACTGATGACTGCTCAATCAATTTTTTCACATAACGGTGTAAAATACCTTTAAAATGACTCATAAAATAATTTGGGCTGGAAGGAAGAATTAAAGGCCAGAATTTTACAAGAAAAGAGCCTACAATTTCCACTGCTATTGTCCTTATGATGTCCTAGAAATACTCCCGGCTAACAACTAAGGATGCCATCTGAGCATCCTTTATAACAAATGATAACATCCTGGAAACACTGGGATGCACAGATGTCCCTGCCCTCATTTTTTAATCTGTAATTGAGACTGGGACCCAGTGAGGTTTCAGGATTTTTTTCAAAATGGAATAGTGAGACACAAAATCCAGTTTGCCACAGGATTACTTCAAAAGGCAAGGAACAAAACAGCAGAAAGTTTTTAATGAGCACAATATTTTTACCATCAGCCTACCGCCCCAAGTGCAAGCTTACCTTACTGCCAATGATTGACCGTACTTCATCATCAGGAGAGGTTGGAGTCCCAGATATATCTGGGTTACTGTTACTAAGGCTCCTTGAGCGATTCAAGTTTAAGCTTGCTGGTCTGACAGCTGAACGAGCCATAGTAGCATAATGCACTGATCCTCCCAAACCACCAGGGCCTAAAACAATGGTGCACAATATAAATCAATGGGTGAGATACAAATTAAGGAAACATCACCTACGCTAGTAAAACTGGCTTTGAGAAGTGCCATTCATATCAGCATCTTTCTCCATGACACACTTGGCAGATCTTTTCTCTGTGATTCATTACCACTTTTTTTTTTTGCCCCCTGAAGGGGATTTTTTAATTGCATTTTCTATAACTAAACACTACATGAAAAAATAGGGGAGGGTCTACAAACTATAGGGATAAAGGAAATAAACCTCTAAAAACCCAAGAGTGGGTGTCATACAAATTGCTTTAACAAGATTACAAGCTTATGTAGCTAGGTATTCGTATAAAATCATTGAACATGTTCATCATCTTTGTATTAAACTTCCACTCAAACTTAAACATCGTCTACTATGACTTCATAAAAACCCAAGAAAGCCTATTTTAAACATATTTTTTAACTTCAGAGTTATAATAACAGATCATTTTTTCTCCTTTGGCTTCCTCAATTTATAGCCTCGTTTTGGGGGCACTGCCCCCAAGTTTGAGTCTGATTCTTCACCAGAAGATGGCTCTGCTCCATCTCTGCCATCCTTCTTGGGACTGTCTTTTTCTTCTTCTTCTTTTCCTTCTGCTGGGATGCAGGAATTCACTTGCTTTATCCATAGTGTCAATTTTTTCTTTTCCATTCACAAACTTAAAGATGAGTCCTTCAGGCTGAATCCATCTGAAGACAATTTGTTTCTTTTGTAGAAATGCGACCAAGTCTTTATATTTACGCCTTCTCTTCCTTATTTCAAATGGAATATCCTTTATTTCTTTGCCCTTGATTTTCAGGGTAACCCCATTAGCCGCTTTAAGAATTTTATCTCTGACGTTCCTTCTGGAGAATCTCACCATCACTTCTCCTGGCAGATTATTATTCCTTGTAAATTCTGTATACGATCTGTAGACCGTATCACTATCGTTTTGCAAAGTATCTCCTTTAATATCTGCCATTTGCTCCAATGCTTAACACATTGTCTGTGTGAGATTCTCCCCTTTTTCCTCAGAAATTTCCTGAAACCTTAGGACATAGCTTGCCTTTTCCATTTGTAACTGCAGCAGTTGGGACTTGTCTGTTTGTCGTTCTTCTCCATTGTCTGCACTTGTTTTTGCAGTTTTTTGATGTTAATGTCCACTTCTTTAAGTTGCTGATCCATTTGGTCTGTTTTTTTGACAGTCTCATTAATTTGAGCTTGCTGTATATCCAGCTTTCGACTTATCTCTGTCACTTGTTCCAGCAGAGGGCGTAGTGCTTCATTTAATATCTTTTGAAGGTCTGAGTTTGTGTCCTGTCTGGGCACATCACTCGCTGGGCTGGCACTTCCGGAAGCCTTAGCTTTCACTATCTTCTCCTTCTCCTCTTTCCTCCTAGGAGGTGCCATTTTTGAGGAATTGTTTACTGTTTGTCAAAAGTTATCAGTCTCTAAAGTTCTCAGTTATGCTTGGTAAGTTCTTAGTTGTCTTTTATTTCAGTCTTTTTTACTTTGAAAGCCTGCCCACCCCCCCGCTTTAAGGATAGAATTCGCTTTAAGTCTGTCTTATCGGAGGAGAATCCCCTCCCCCCCCTTGCTTCCCGCGGGGCAGCTTTAGCTCTTTTTGGTGTTCTTGCTTCAACTTAACTCACAGTTCAATTATTAGACGATTTCCATTTCGCTTATATTGCCAAATCGCTAGATCACCCAGCGCTTGATCCGGTGTGCGCTTCGAGTTCCATCTGGAAACTCTGCGGCAGGACCATTGAGGCATGGATGGCCCCCCCTTCACCGGCAAGATTGCTGGCGGAGAAGCCATCTAGCACCCCATGACTTGGAACCCATCAACAAGGGTTCCGTGGGGGATGCGGACAATTGCACCCTCTTCTAGCCACTGGTTCTGGCAATCGTCTCCCAGAGGTCCAGGAGAGTGGCTGCCATGGCAAATGCCAAAACCGGAAACCTCATTCATTACCACTTCTCACCAGTATCCGTAAATTACGGTACTCTAATCCTTTAAAGGTAGCACTTTCTTGAAGTAGCAACTTTCAACAAAGGCAGGTACTGGAATTGCCTTTGTCTAACTTTCACCTATCCCTTCCCTAAGTCAATATGGCTGCACTCTCTGTGGTGAGGAAAAAACCCTGAGGATATATTCTCAGGAGCAGCACTCTACTATTTTCCTTATATTACTAAAAAACTTCATGCGCTGAATCTTAGCAAACCCTGGATGAACTCCTGAAACCAGGCCCTTCTGTTCCAGTTTCTCAATGAAGTAATGTTTTAAAAGTTAAAATACCTGGTGATGGTGAATTGGGAGAGGTGTTTGGTAGGCGAAAAACATAGTAAATATATGAAGTGAGCAGGTTGTTTCTGCCGTGCTGGTCCTGATTGCTGTCTAGGTTTTTGTGTAGTCTGTTTACAATAGATGCCATGGCTTCAAAAGATGCTTGACCCAGATTAACTGAAAAGGAATAAAATGAAAAGTTTGGCACTAGGCAACCTGACAAGCCATTTTAAAAAAGAACAACAGATCTATCTTTTTAAAAATAAGAATAACCATTTCCATTTCATTTATTAGCTTCATTGACCCGAGGTCTTAAGCCAAACATGCAAACAACAAATATAAAATGCATTACATAAAATTGCAAGATATTTAGACAGAACGCCTTTACAATAAAAGCTAGTAAACATGCTCTCAATCAGTAACATCAGACCACATTTTATAAACCTGACAAGCCATTTTAAAAAAGAACAACAGATCTATCTTTTTAAAAATAAGAATAACTAATCTGGCATGAATTTCCCTTGAAATATATCTATAGAATAGGTCAAGATTGGGATCATTTGAACAAGAATTTCAATGACAGTGAACAATATATATCCAAGAGGTTATCTGTTTCAACACAGAATTAGGTGAGAAACAATATTTTGATATCCTACATGAGAAAGTCACAATTAAAACTGTACCTTTACTTTATTCTTACCATATCCAAACATGTGAGACATACTTGTGGAAAGGTTTTGAAGAAGAAGAAGAGATTGGATTTATACCCCACCCTTCACTACCCAAAGGAGTCTCAGTGGCTTACAAACTCCTTTCCCTTCCCCTCCCCACAACAGACACCCTGTGTGGTAGGTGGGGCTGAGAGAGCTCTGACAGAAACTGCTCTTTTTCAAGAACAGCTGTGCCAGAACTATGGCTTGCCCAAGGTCAGAGAACAAGTATAAAGAAAACAGTCATGAAAGTCTGACCCACAAATCAAGCAGTCAACAAGACTTGCAAAAAATACTTCCTGTGTATTACAGTCTAAATTCCTACAAATCATAAGAAAATCCTAGAACAAAGATACATCATCAAAGATACATCATCAACGTTGTCTCCGGATTATATAACAACGTTTCAAAATTGGATCTTCCTCAGGAATATTAGAGTGGTACTAAAGCTCCCTTGCTCTTAAAGAGCTTAACAACAAGTCATGAAAGATAATACAATTCATTCAAATAGGACACTGATCTCAATATGTTCAGGCTCAGATATGCTGCTAAACTTCTAATGGATCCCAGGCCATCCAGCAAGTGCAAGTGGAGGAGTGGGGAATCAAACCCAGTTCGCCCAGATTAGAGTCCGCACACTTAACCATTACACCAAACTTGCTTGACATACACTGTTTTTCTCAAGCTGTTCCAAGAGTTAGCTAACTCACTCATACTTTGGTGGAAGAAAAAGGCATTTAATATCTGGCTGGAACTAGTACATTTCTAATCATGCTCCATTTATCCGTTCCCTCAAATATGTACTGTCCCCTTCTCAAATTAAAGAGTGAATACTAAAATGTTGACCTGCAGTTCCACAATTAAAGCATAATCAATAACATTTAAAATACAGCTGAATAAAATGCATCAGGGAAGGTATGATTCAAACTCTAATTTTCAAAACAAATGTCAGTAAAATACCTATTTGGCCTGCTATAATAGGAGGTCTTACAACCAAAAGAATCAGTTTGTCAAGCAGGAGATGGAGAAATCGCACCACAGGTTCCAGCTGAGAAGAACTTAATGCTGAAATGCTGCTCTTTAATTCATTTTCCAAGTTGTTTTCCATAATTCTCATGTCACCTATCCGCACAGGGAACATGTGTTCATCCAGAGCATGAACAAGTGCAAAGAATTTGTCAAGGAAAGGGTCCTGTATGCACAAAAAATCCCAATAAAATATGCTTAGCTGTATCATTTTTAAAATGTATGCATTGACTAATATGTAAAAAAGATATTTATTAAATAAAAATTCTTCTAAGAAAATACACAAATAGGTTGCATGAGAAATTTCACTATTCATATCAGCTCTAGCTCTTGCTGCTTAAAGGAAATACTGTTAATACATACCTGTGTGTGAATGGTTGATACAGCGACTATTTCTACATTAAAAACTCCTTTATGATTATCTACCCACTTCATTCCTGGCAGGGGCACCTGACAACAAAACAATAAACAATAAAACCACTTATGTGTGTGTATCACAACACTGACAAAGCAGACAACATGCTACTCTATGCAGCAAAGATTCTTCTAACAAATAAAGTTAAATTAATTGTGCATTATATGAACCTCTTTTAAAGCTTGGTATCAAAATATGCAACCTGTCTGTTCTAGACATCTGTATTTACTAAGTAAATCTTAATATAATGAATAAATGACCTCTGGAGAAAGCACAGAATACGCCTGCGGTGGCTTCTCCAATGAAACAGGAAGGCAGAACTGGCCAGTCTTCAACCGTCCATTCTGGAGCATTGGTATCCACTTTAATAGGAAAGAAAACACAAAAAGTTTTATTTGTACACATTAAATACACAAGGTGTTTCCGGATCATCCAGTGTGAAAATCAGTCTGATCTAAAAGCCAAGGGCAAAGCATAATAAAAGCTGAAAGATCAAAATGCAAGGATACATGGGCTTAGTGATGGTTCAGACAGAAACATGTCCCATTTTTAAATGACTTTTAAAAATGAGGTCACACGGGAGGGGGAAACAAGCGTCCAAAGATGGAAAGCAGCAGAATTACTCAGCTGGTGTTGAATAGAAAGGCCTAGTCTTCCATAACAAAAGCCATAATAAAGATCAAAGCGATGTATTTTCATGCTGCAAGAACAATCCAAAGTTACACCATTCTAAACCCAATGTGCTTAGAAGGGTATGAATTTGTGTAGGAATGCACTGGTCATCACTTAAGCTTAAACTCCCAGTAGCATTGATGGAACCAAGATTCTGCCACATGAAGCATTATTACAAAATGTGCTCTGGAAGCCTTAAAATACTCGAAATAAAGCTAACATAAAAATGAAATCTGATCTGTTATCTCCTCCCCTCTTCTCTATATGAACGAAATCTGAGTTATATATAAAAAGGAATCATTTTGGGTTGGTGTTTTTACCGTGTATCCAACAGGAGTCTCGAGCGGAGTGTTTTGTTTTTGCTGGCAACTGACATGATAAAAAGTGAAAAGCAGGTGGTGGTGATCAGTTAATGTGGCAGGGAGTTTAATCTTGATTTCTTCATGAAAATCAGGCGACCTGTTTAACGATACAAATAGAAGTAATCAGGTGTGCATAAAGACATTTGACTGCTTTGTTTCTCTTCCTAATATGCTTTATTATTCCACGTTTGTTAAATGTGAACATCCTCAAAATAATGGGGGGGAAACCCTCTTTATGATCAGTACTTGTGTCTGCCTGTTCTATGCTCCCTAATCTCACTGTTACACTGTTTACAGGTCCCCCCAGGTACTGTCGTATCAGTCACGCACTGGGTGCTCCAAGATTTGAATGTCCAGCAATTTATGAAACTTAATTAGAAGGCACTATATATTACTACTCCACATTGCACTAAACCTATGGACTATCCCTCCCAATAGTTTGGCACATACATTGCCAGGCCAATTTACCTGATGTGTCTTGCATATGTTATGGACTTCCACCATATACATTTTTATGGTGGGTTCTCACATGGTACATTGTGAGAATGGGTCATGTGGTGGTGGTGGTGAATCCAGGAGACCTGGACTCAAATTGCTGCCCAGCCACTATGAACCAGTTACTATCTCAGCCTCACAGATTTACTGCAAGGCTAAAATAGGAAAACTCTATGTTGGCTTCCCCTGCAGTCCCCTAAGTATAAATAAATAGATGGCCATGTCACTACTTCCAATTACTAAATTCCACCAGCAAACTATTCCCCAAATAGAAGGCCTGAAAAACATCCCAGGATTCTGGAAATTATATACTGACACCTACAAATCTGAAACTTTTATTCAACTCTTAATTCACCTTGTGGTGAAAAAAGAATTTGTATAAGGGATCTAAAATATTTTTCCAGGCCATGTATATATTTCAATGATGAGAAGTCTAGAGTAAAGTGAAGTTGACTAAATCTATTGCAGCTCAGACTCCAATTTGACAGGTTAGAGCCAAAGCAACTGCCCTGCATGTAGAATAGTCCAGGTTCAATCCCCATAATCTCATGTTAAAGAATATCAGATGTGCTGCCACTCAAAAGTAGGGAGCAGTAGGCTAAAGGAGTAGTTAAAAAAAACTAATCCAGAAACAAAACAAAAAGGCAACCTATAAAGATGCAATATTCTTTAATATGATGTATGGTTTTGTGGATATAATGCCCTGTGATGTCAGATGTTCCTTTTAAAACATTTTCTGCATTTTACCTGTTATGATACACAACAGCTGTGTAGGCTTCCTTTGAAAATTCAGCACAGCTGGATTTTCCAAAGATAACCTGTAAAAGTAAACAAAACATTTTTAAGCTATGTTCTTTGGAATGTAAATCAGTAAGGCCCCCTAGCCCAAGTAATGTTTTAATTCTGTAATGCCAAAATGAAGATTAAAGCCTTTATTTCTATTGAGTGTTCTGCAGAAGTATTACACAAATTGGTCTGAAAAGAGCATATAAAAAACAGGCAGAAGGATGTTTGGACAGAGAGGCAGTTTTTCAGATTGCATGATATGTTGCTCAGGCCCCCTATGCTCTTTGATGCACAGGCTGTGGATAAGTGAATCACATGAAAATTCAAGCACACGAGCAGACACACAGTGATGAAAAAAGGTGGAGAATAAAAGGATGCAAAATATCACCAATGTTCACACTGAAGGCTACCAGTAACCAGCATAGTGCTCCATTTTTGCTTTGCAGCACTGCCAGAAGCAGTGATTGGGTCAAGGGAAGTACAGCATGTACTGCTGGGACTAGATATATATCACAGCATCCCCCATCAGAACACCACAGTCTCACCACAGTAATGAAATTCAAAGGGAACACATATGCACAAACACAAAGGAACGAAGTGCGCACACACTTAGTGATGCACCATACCGGCATTGCATTACTTGGATCTTCTCCATACATAAACTGGACTTTTACAGTAATATTCCGGGCAGATCCTTGCCGGTTGGCAAAGTTAAGGGTCTGAGGATATACGTACAGAAGGTTTCTGTAAAGTAAGCAGAAGGGATAAACATTGCCTAATTCAGACACAAGAGGATAAAATTATATTTATTTATTTCATCACATTTATAGCCCACCCTTCCCCAAAGTGGGCTCAGGGTGGGTAACAACATCATTTATACAAAAATTTTGTTAATAAAATAACATTAAAATTTAACACATCTTCATAAATATTAAAATGCTGGTCACAGCTGATAACAAAAAAAAAATCCCTGGTTGTGGGAGGTTCCTGGCAATAGCCAGTAGTTGTTAACAGAGTGACAACCACCTCAGGGAAGCCATATATGGATGTCCGTTGCCTCAGCCAAAGGCCTGGCGGAACAGCTCCGTCTTACAGGCCCTGCAGAATTGAAGTAAATCCTGCAGGGCCCTGATCTCAAGCCCTGGCCCTGGTTGAGGCAAGTCGGACATCTTTTGAGCCAGGGACTACCAGGAGGTGTCGATCCTTAGAGCGTTATGCTCTTCGGGGCATATACGAGAAGAGGCAGTCCTTCAGATATGTTGGTCCCAGGCCGTGTAAGGCTTTAAAGGTTATTACTAACACCTTGAAGCGGATCTGGAACTCTACTGGTAACCAATGCAAATGGCTGAGGACCTGCCACACGTGAGCCCGTTTAGGCGTCGCTGTTAGCAGGCGCACCACTGCATTTTGCACCAGTTGTAATTTCTGGGTCAGCCTCAAGGGTAAGCCTGTGTAGAGCGAATTACAGTAGTCACGTCTGGAAGTGACCACTGCATGGGTCACTGTAGCCAAATCTTGAGGGGAGAAATAGGGTTTCAGCAACCTAATCTGCCAAAGATGGAAAAAGGCAAATTGGGCGGCTACAGTAACCTGGGCCTCCATAGAAAGAGAGGCATCCAGTGTCACTCCAAGACTCCTCACCTTCTCAGCTGGCACCAAAGATGCCCCTTCCAGAGTGGGATACCCATATCCCCTCCCTCCGTCTTCGATGGATTTAGCCTCAACCGACTCTGCCGCAACCATCCAGCCACAGCTCCAAAGCCTCGGCCAAATTATCAGGGGTGGAGGACGGATGGCCTTCCAATAACAGATAGAGCTGGGCAGTGTTCCCTCTAAGCTGAGTTAGTGTGAGCTAGCTCGCAGTTTTTTAGCCTCCAGCTCACACATTTCTGTCTTATCTCAGGAAGGATGGCTCCAGAGCAAACTAGTTTATGCAGTAGCCAAATTGCTCGCTCACAACTTTAAAGCCAGTAGCTCACCAAGTAGAATTTTTGCTCACAAGACTCCACAGCTTAGAGGGAACATTGGAGCTGGGTGTCATCTGTGTATTGATGGCAACCCAGCCCATACCTCTGGACTAACTGGGCAAGAGGGCACATATAGATGTTAAATATCATTGGTGAGAGGATCGCCCCCTGTGGCACTCCACATTCCAGTGGGTATCGCAGGGAGGTCCTCTTGCCCAGCACCACCCTCTGCCCCTGACCATGGAGAAAGGAGGAAAACCATTGCAAGGCAGTCCCCTGAACTCCTACATCAGCAAGGTGGTGGGTCAGTAGATCATAATCGACCGTGTCGAATGCTGCTGTCAGATCAAGTAATAACAGCTGCATCAACCCACCCCAGTCCAGATGTCTACAGAGGTCATCCGTAAGGGCGACCAGAGCCGTCTCCGTCCCATGGCCAGGGCGGAAGCTACAAAATTAATATTTTAATTAATTAATATTTTAATTAATAATTCAGTCCTGTATTCAATATTATGCATCTTTTGAACAATGCAAGCTTACACTCTTTAACACATCCTGACTCTTTTCTTTGCAACACTCCTCCCACCTTCTGACTGGGATATAAGGACTCAGAGATCTCCTTTCCTACTTTTATCTGATGAAGGGCGCTTTGACTCTCAAAAGCTTAAATCCCCAAAATATTGCTGGTCTCTAAGGTGCTACTGGACTCAACTTTAGTCTTTAACCTGGCATCTTTCATAATAACCTTGAAAGGAGGTAGATCAGTGGTTCCCAACTTTTTTAACTATGTCAAAAAAGTCCAAAAAATCTGCAGACCCCCACAACAGTAGTTCATAGAATCACAGAGTTGGAAGGGCCATACAGGCCACCTAGTCCAACCCCCAGCTCAATGCAGGATCAGCCTAGAACATTCCTGACAAGTGTTTGTCCAGCTGCTGCTTAAAGACTGCCAGTGAGGGGGAGCTCACCACCTCCCTAGGCAGCTGATTCCACCACTGCACAATTCTTACTGTAAAAAAAGTTTTTTTCCTGATATTCAGATGGTACCTTGTATTATTGTATTATTAGTATCCTTTGACTGAGAAAACACTTGACAAAAAGCTATTATGAATTCAGTAACACCTTTAAACTAGCTTACTTCTATTAAGCTAAACAGCATCTACATATAGAAAAAACAGTAATACATGTATGTGTGAGATATATTATTTATTTGGTCTACAGAAGGTATGTTTGCTCATTTATTAGACTGAGTCATTTAATGAGATGGCGGCTGCTGTTCTACAGCCTTCACAGATTGGGAGTCTGGTTGAAAGGTAGACAGTACAGACCAATGACAGAGTATAAGAAAGTTTAACATGTCTGTGTAGTTTAGAGTTACTGGTATAGTTGCCTAGAACGACCTCTTTGCTAACGCAGCAGTAAGTCTGTACTCACGGGAATTCTCTTGGATGCTCAATGAACATTCAATCCTTGATGGAACAATTGGTGAATGCTTATTTATTTTTATTTTAACCCAACTTTTCAGTGGCAAATTGACTTCAAAAGGAGCTTACAAGTATCATACTAACGGAAATAATGATTGAAGTACAATACATTATGAATGTTAATATCGAAAATTAGAATAATTTCTAATAAAACAGTCATAATTCCAAAATACAATCTAAGCAACATTCCTGAAGAGTTTAAAACCATGTAAAGAACAGATTTGCATTAGTAAGTTCAAGTGAACATGAACCAGAAGAACTATGGGTTGAAACCAGAGATATTATCAAGGAAAAATGTGCCAGATTATTCCTGCAGAAAAGGAAAATCTCAATGGATAACTGATGAAACTCTCAAAATCGCTAAAGACAGATGAGAAGCAAAAGTACAAGGTGAGAGAAATAAACTCAAAAGCCTAAATCCAACATTTAAGCAACTCACACATAGAGACAAAGAGAACTAGTACAATAACCAGTGTAAAGAAACAGAACAACAAAAAGGGAAGAACAAGAGATCTGTTCCACAAGATCCAAGGAATCAAAGGGAAACTTAAAGCATGGTTAGGCATGCTGAAAGATCAACATGGAAATAAATTAATTGAACAGGACAAAATAAAATAAAAGATGGGAACAATACACTGAAGAACTATACAAAAGAGATGAAAGGATGACAGATTCCTTCCAAGAAGAATCTTTTGAAGACCGTTTTAGAAAGTGAAGTGAGAGCTGCACTGAGGGCAACTGGAAAAAACAAATCACCAGGAGTAGATGGGATATCAACAGAACTCTTCCAAGCCACAGAGTCCATTAAAATCTTAATGAGATTGTGTCAACAAATATGGAAAACAAAACAATGGCCCACAGACTGGAAATGCGCAATTAACATTTCAGTTCCAAAAAAAGGAGATGTCAAGGACTGTAGCACCTATTGGACCACTACATTAATTTCTCATGCAGGTACAGTGATGCTCAATATCTCACTACAACGACTGTTACCATATATGGAATGAGAAATGCCAAATGTTCCAGCTGTATTCAGAAAAGGAAAAGGAGCTAGAAAACTTATTGAAAATTTACATTGGTTACTGGAGCATATGAGAGAATTTCAGAAGAAAACCAGCTTTTTCATAGATTACAGCAAAGCTTTTGACTGTGTGGATCATGAAAAGCTATGGTTGGCATTAAAAGAAATGGGTGTGCCACAGCATCTGATTGTTTTGATGTGCAACCTACACTCCAGACAAGAAGCCACTGTTAAGACAGAATATGCAGGAATAGAATGGTTTCCATTGGCAAAAAGGGTCAGGCAAGAATGCTTTTTATCTCCCTTTCTCTTCAATATGTATGCAGAACATATCATAGGGAAACTGGATTAGATTTATATGAAGGTGGAGTGAAAATCAATGGAAGGAACGTGACAATTTGAGATGTGCAGATGATACCACATTAGTGGCAGAAAACAGTGAAGACTTGAAATGACTATCGCTAAAGGTTAAAGCAGAAAGTGCCAACGCAGGATTACAGTCAAACATCAAGAAGACAAATGTAATGACTACAGGGGAATTAACTTGATGATGATGATGATGAAGAAGAAATGGAAACTGTTCAAGATTTTCTATTCCTTGCCTCAACTGTCAACCAAAAGGTAGATCCCCCCCTTTCTCTTGGCTCTGACCAACCATGGCTGGGAGAAAGGTGGAAAGGAAGTCGCAGCCTGGAGAAAGGAGGAACTGAACTTGTCAGACCGGTTTGGTTTGTGTGGAGCCCATTTGGTTTGAGGTTCAGTTTGCGGACCGCCCAAAGCCCTGAACTGAACTGCCCTTTTCAGGTTTATGCCCATCCCTAGCTATGATTTTATTCTTCTTTGCTCACACAGATTGGTGAATCTATCAAACTCAGCTTCTTCCTATGCTTGCCTACAGGTTTAACTCTGTATCAAGATTCTGTGCCCAAGATCCAAAGAATGGAAAACTGGTTCTGTGAGCCCAAGAGGGGTTGTGTAACTTGATACTGTTTACTTAGTAGTAACTCCCACTGAATTCATGTTAAGTGTACATGAGATAGCTACACTAGATTATTTTTTCCTCTATGGCGGCAGTCCCACGAATGCCATAACAAACTACTCTTGAAATAATGGAAATTTAAAAAGTGGTTTATGGCTTAGCATGGAGAACAGATATTGGAAGATAAATAAAGTCAAACACTCCACTGGCTTAGCACAAGCTCCTAGCATGAGCCCTGGCAGTGCTCTGAATCCAGTCAAATGATTTCTATATGCAGTTCTGATTTAGTAACA